CCGCCCCCGCGCGAGGCCCGCCCGCCGCCGCCGCCGCAGGGAAGCGGAGGGGGCGGCGACCTGGGCCCCACCCAGCGGTGGATCCGCCCCTAGGCGCGGACCCCCAACAAAGGGCCAGAGACCAACAGCCGCTCCCTCGAGGATCCCCAGTCACCCCTTCCCTTCAGTTATCCCCTTTCCTTTAAAGAACTCTGGGACAGCCTCTGAAGTCCCCTTACCCACTGCAAACTAGCCTCTCCCCACATGACTTCCTCCATGTGCACCACGGTCACCACCACCCTGCCCACCTGGAACTCTCCGCCCCTCAGAAACAGGCACCTCCCTCTTTCTACCGTCCTGCCTCCTTCCCACTCTGGCCTCTAAGGAGTCCCAATGCCATGGAGTCGATTCCTACTCATATCGACCCTGAAGGAAAGAGTGTAACTTCCCCATAGAGTTTCCAAGGCTGTAAATCTTCACGAGAGCAGACTGCCACATCTTTCTCCCGCGGAGCAGCTGGTAGGTGGTGGGTTTGAACCGCTGCCCTTTTGGTTAGCAGCTGAACGTTTAACCACTGCACCACCAGGGCTCCCTTTTTGGCGTAAGGACCCGCAAATTCCCCATACTGACTTTTCTAATAGCCCCCTTCAAGGCTTGAAGCTTTGGGGAGGCATTTTCCCTCACCTCAGGTAGCTCTCCTGCAGACGCCCCTAGGACCCCCAGTTAGCCTCACCCTTTCTCACCACTCCACAACACCCCTGGTAGTTTCCTCTTCTGCCATTCCCTCCCCTCATAGCCTGTCAGGGAGACTCCATGCCAGGCCCTCCCTCCCAGCATCAGTCCACTTGTCCACTCAGTGATGTTTTGAGCACCTGCCATGTTCCTGCAGAGCCTGACAACCACCAGTGAGTCCTACAGAAATCTCCCCACACACTGTGTAGACTCAGGGACTTGCCCCAATCCCACTGGGGCCCTTTGGTCCCCATAGGCCCTGACCAGAGCAGTGTTGGGTGTGGCTTCCCTGAGACCAGTGGGAAGCAGGCCCCAGCCTGGTGGAGGGGACGTGGGCAGTGGAGCCTTTCACATCAGGCCTTGGAAACTCCCCAGCCTCATTCTCCACAACCCTTCCCCTCACCCACACGCACACCCCTGCCCTTAAATGCTTTGTCAGATGACCTCTCCTCCAGAAGCCTATCCTGACTTTCCAGGCAGATGAATCAGCCTTCCACGCACTGCCATGGTGGTGACATCACTTTGGGGTGGGTCTGTTGCTCCATTCCCCAAGGGAAGGAACAGGGTCTTAGTCACCTGTCATGCCTCAACACTCGAGGGAGTGGAAAGAATGGGGGTTTTGGAGTCAGACTGACCCAAGCTTGAATCCTGGCTTCCGTTCCTCTCAGCCCTGTGATCCGGTGCCTCCCTGAACCTCAGTTTCCACATCTTAAAAATGGGGATAATTCCTCCTTGTTAAGGTAGCTGAGAGGATTAAGATAAAAAGTGCCCTCTAGTCATCACTCTTAAATTCTAACTCTTGATAGAGTATGTACCTGGTAAACATGTGGAAAACTGGGTTGAAAATAGTTTGTACCCGTCTTGTCATCTGGACCATTCTGGGTGAATTATCCAGGAGAGATGCTGGCTTGGGGATCCTAACTCCTCAAAGGTCCTCTGAGTCCCAGTCCAGGGTACAATTATGACCCAAGGACTGGGGACCCCAGTGTGTCAACCTGGGCCAGCCTCATGCCCCTGGGCATGTCTCAGGATGGAAGGCTGCCATTTTGGCCCAGAATATGGACTCTCAGGCCTTCTAGGGAGGGGCTTTCTGGCCAGTCTCTTGGCCTCTTACCAGCCCTGAGCTGCCACTCCCTGCCCTGTCCCCTGGGGAAAAGCAGTTCCAGGAAAGCAGGATTCTAGGTGCTCTCAGTAAATCAGGGACATCTACCTTGGCCTTTGGAAACCATCTAGGACTCTTTCATTAAAACCCAGGTGGGCCTATAACCCTATCCCGCCAGCCTAAGGGGCTCCCTTCAGATCCCTAAAGATAGCTCCAGATCTGATCTTGATCCCATTGCCATAATAATAGCTTACCTGGCACAGCCCTCTAGGCCTCCGTTAGCCCACCTGTGGGCTTTGTAAAGTCATTACCTGAGTCAGCTCTCAGCATGTTGTGAGGTAAGGCCCAGCATATCCACAGCTGCAAGACCACAGGTAGACAACTCACCCCTCTGAACTCCAATTTCCTACCCTGTAAAATGGAGATAATCATCTGCCCTGCCTGCCTCCCAGGGTTGTGGGGTAGTCAAGTCAGATAATGGATGTAAGAATGCTGTGCAGACTGTAAATCCAGGGAGAAGGTGGGTCTTTGTTGACAGATGAGGACAGAAGCCACAGAAAAACAGGCAGGCCAGGCCGCTTGCCCAAAATTATGCCATAATTTCAGGATTAGGACTGAGGGATTTGGGTCCCTGATTCAGTGCAGTTCTGTTTTCTTTTTCAACTATCAGTTAAGAAGTGAGTACACATCCCTTATCAAAAATTCAAAAATAAAATAAAGCTAAATTTTCTTCTTGACTGTTCCCCTCAATCCCGGTCCTTTTCTAAGAGGTAGCCGCAGTTGTCGATTTGAAACTTATCCTTCCAGACCTTGTTCATGCATTTACATCCAAGCATGGATTCAATAAATATTTACTGAGCATCTGCTAAGGGCCAGGTGCTGAGGCTCCAGGGGACATAAGGGTGAACAGGACAAGGCCCCTGCCCTCATGGAACTAACATTCTAGTGGGAAAGAGGCAATGAACAAGTAATCAAATCAACAAAGATAATTTCAGATGGTGAGAGTGGCTAGGAAGAAAATAAAGCAAGACTTTGTGGTGGAGAATGATGAGGACAATCAGGGCAACCAGGGAAGGCCACATTTGAGCTGAATGACAAGAAGGAGCCAGCTGTCAAAGATCTTGAGGCCATGCTTCCAGGGAGAGGGGACAGCCAAGACAAAGGCCCTAGGGGAGAAAGAGTTTGCTATTTTCAAGTATAAGAACGCGCACAGAGTGGTGCTAGATGAGGTCCAAGAGGTGGACAAAGAGGAGACCATGTAAGGACTTGTAGACCAAGGAGATAGCTTTGCTGTCTGCTCAGCAGGAAGTCATTGTAGAGTCTCAGGGGAGTGATACAATCTAATATATTATTAAAGGTTGTTTTGGGCAAATGCTCTGTAGGGGGACAAGAGTTGGACACAGGGACACCAGTGTGGAGGCCACTGTGGTCATCAAGGCAAGAAATGATGGAGGCCTGCACCAGGGTGGGGAATGGGGATGGCAGTGGATGGATTGGGAACATGTGGTGAGTGCGGAACCAACAGGTCTTGCTGATTGGTTGAATATGGGTGTGAAGCAGGAGTCAAAGATGGCTGCAAGGCTTTGGACTTCAACAACTGGGTGGACAATGGGGGCCATTGGGTGAGATGGAGAAGAGGGTAAAGGCACAGGCTTACATGATGGGGAAGCAATTCCTCTGTATTGAGCATCTGCATTGTGTCAGGTTCAGATATGAAAGAGGCAATCCCTGCCCTCAAGTTGCTCATGGTCCATTGTATGGGCTTTTCAACTCTTAGCCTCCTTTGACATAAGTGACAAGTGAGGCTCCTCAGATCCTAGTGGTACCTCGGTACCGCTAATAAACTAGGCCTCCGTCATAGGCAATGCCCTGCTCCCTAACTGCAACTCCATACCTTCTCCCCACCCATCCTCCAAAAAGCAAGTTGAATGTGAGATGTCATTACAGGTAGAGCTTGAATCCTTTCTAATTTACTGCAAGGTGAATCATTCACACACTTCTGTGCTTTAACAAGGTATTTGGGATGCATAACAACAACACAACTCACAGCTGGCACTCAGCATTGGGGCAGGATCCTGGCAGAGAGGTACTGGCTGGTCTGGTGAGGGAGAGAGGCTTGCAGGTAACTCTGCATCCAGCGTAAGGGACAAGGAAGTCCAGGGAATCACAAGAGTCCAGAGGAGGCCCCTGACCAGTCTGGGGTCAGGCTACTGTGCCTTCCACTTACCATTCTTCTTGCCAACATGCTGTGCAGGAGGACTTTGAAGGAGGGAGGTTCAAAGGCAAGATGAAAAAAAAAGACCCATTGGAGGTGAAAGAGGCTAACATTTAATGAGCATTGGTGGAATGAATGAGTAAATGAATGAATGAATGACCAAGACCTACAGTTTATATTCCAGTCGCTGGAAAAGAACATCATGTTTAGAAGAGGGTCAGCAAAAATGAGGGAAGCCGTCCGTGAGATGGATTGGCATAATACTGGCAACAATGGACTCAAATGTACCAACGATCATGAAGATGGTAGAGGACCAGACAATGTTTCGTTCTCTTATACATAAGTCACCATGAGTAGGAGCCAACTGGATGGCAACTAACAACAACAACATAGTTTACATTTATTTCCACACACAGATCTCAAAGTAAGTTTCAGAAAGATAAAAAGGGAGAGGTCCCATGAAGGGGACCTGGAGAGGGCCTAGGAAAAAAGAACATCATAATGCTTTGGCAATGTTCCACCTGGGAGCCTCTGGCCTTTGTCTGTGTCTGCCCAGCTCTGCGCCTGTTTAGAGACTTGTGGGCTACTTCTCACAGAAGCCAGAGGTCTTCGTGCTATGGGGTATGCATGTATG